CCATCCGTTCTGCAGTTGCTTCACAGCAATCCCCCTCCTTCTACTTTCCTTCACCTGCAGAGAGACTGATGTCTCTTTTAATCCTTCAGTTGCCAGGACCTTTCTCTCTTTAACCCCTTACAGTGACTCATTTCACTTTTTGTGTTCCTTAAATCCAGTGCTGCTCATGGAACACTGCCAGGGGGGTATTGTCCTCCCTTGGTATCTGGCCAACTGCAGAGATAGGAGATATCCTCTTTGGCCACTCATGCACACCTCATTACAGCCCTGTGTCTCAGCTGGAGATGTCCACTGTTGACCTTATTGCTGCTCTCATTATGTCTTTGCTCTCCAAGGGGAATCTCCTTCCTTCTATTACCCTTTCCACTCTCTTAACCTGTCTCCTACAGAACCTAAAACCTCTCCATCTCTAAAGCTCAAACACCTTTTTTTTTTGGCCTGGCTACAATATAAATTTGAAAATGGCTCTCAATGGCCAGAAAATGGCACTTTTGATTTTTCCATCTTGGGGGATTTAGATAATTATTGCTGAAGACTGGATGAATGATCTGAGGTACCCTATGTCCAGGCATTGTTTACGCACTGTAGTCTTCTCACTCTATGCGCCACCTGTGATTCCTCCTTCTTTCTCTCCATCTGCACCCCCTCCAGTCCCCTCTCACCCAGACTCCTCCCTAAAGTGGATCCAACAGACCGTCCTCTCCCCAGGCAGTCTCCCACCCCTCTTGCAGTGGGTATAGGCACCGCCATTCCCTCCACTCCCCTAGAGCCTCCTACCCATCGAAGCCTTCTGCCATCTCCCCTGCCAGCCTCCTGCCAGGCCTCCTGTCTACCCAACACTGCGTCCTGACTCCAGCCCTCCTCCATAAGCCTTGCTCCTCCAGTGTGGCCCCTCACCCCTCCATTCTTGCTTTAACTCCAAACCCTTTCTTCTCACCCCCCACCCCCACCCAGTTCCCACTCTGGGAGGTGGCTGGGGCAGAGAATAGTCAGGAACAGTTCACTCCTCTGCTAATGAACCCACTCCCAAGATATCGACATTAATCCATTCATGAAAGTGGAGGCTGTCCTTCATGGGCCACGTCATCTCTGAACAGTCCCAGCTCTTAATACTGTTATGATGGCAGTTAAATTCCAGCATGTGTTTTGGTGGGGACAATCACACCATCCTGCACATGCACCTCCGGGCACACCCTACCCTTTTGTCTTGTTCCCAAGCCTGGCCTCAGTATACACTTCCTTTTTTTTTTTTTTTTTTTTTTTTTTTTTG